AGTGTAGTGATGAAGGAAGTGGTCTCTGGTGATAGACTGCCTGGGTTTGCATCCTGCCTCTGCGATTTACTAGCTCTGTGACTCTGGGCAATTACATACAGTACTAATGAATCTCTTTGTGCCTATACTTTCTCATTGTAAAATAATCTATAATAATAAAAGTGCAATATGCTAATTAGACCAGACAGTCGAACAACCTTCCGGACATCTTTCTGGATGTCCTTCCAGATGAAGCTGTGGCAGCGGGGGCCAAGGCAGAGGCAGTTAGATGTGATAAGGCAGGCAGGCGAGTGGTTAGGGGTGATCAGGCAGGCAGGCAGAGTGGTTAGGGGTGATCAGGCAGGCAGGCAGAATTTAGGGATGATCAGGCAGGCAGGCGAGCAGTTAGGGGCATCAGGCAGGCAGGCAGGCAAGCAGTTAGGGGCATCAGGCAGGCAGGCAGGCGAGCAGTTAGGAGCCAGCGGTACTGGATTGCGAGAGAGTGCAGGCCAGGCTTAGGGAAACCTCCTCCCATGCACGAATTTCATGCACTGGACCTCTAGTCCTATATAATAAAAGCCCAATATGCTAAGTGTTCAACTGTTCAACTGTTCAAGCAGTTGCTATGACATGCACTGACCACCAGGGGGCAGATGCTCCAACCAGTAGGTTAGCTTGCTCCTGGGGTCTGGCTGATCAGGACTGGGCAAGAAGGGCTGGACACGCCCTGAAGCCCTCCTGCCGTCCCTCCCCTGCCCTGATGGTGCACTGGTGGGGTCCCTCAGCCTGGCCTGTGCCCTCTCGCAATCCGGGACCCCTCAGGGGATGTCAGAGAGCTGGTTTCGGCCAGATCCCCACAGGCCAGGCCAAGGGACCCAAAAAATACCACAGGATTGATGGGAACATTAGTGGAATTAAGAAATACAAAGTGCTTACAACAAGGCCTTGCATAATAACAATAGTAATGTTGTTACGGCTATTTCCATACTTTGGCCATGTGCATGACGCTCTATGTTGAGAAGGATTTAAAAGCTCAGTTGGAAAAATGGCTGTGAGGGATTACCAGTGTCTGGTATGGGGTAAGAAAAGTGGTAGTGATAACACACCTCTAAGTCAGGGAGATGGCAGCCATTCCAGTTCTAAATTTTTATAATCACCTCTCCTGTATGGTAAATACCTTTCTGAGCATTAAATGAAAACATATGTCATTTATGAAACCTTAAGGCAGGTAATTCTGGAAGTTGATCAGTTGATTTGCATAGGAGTTTCTTACTTTTGAGCTATTAGCTTGTGATTGTTTGGGTATTTCTAAAATATAGGCAAGGAAAGTCGTGCTTTGATTTCTTTATCTAAAAGGGCTCTGCCATGTCCTTAGCATGCTATTATTTAAGATAATACATTCAGTTGGGTTCCCTTTAAATGAAAGATATTTATGCAAGGTGACTAATGCATACCACATTAATCTAAGCTGATGGCATTTCAAACCTCTGCTCAAAATAGAAGCTGAAAGTTGGATCTGATTTTATTTCTGTGCCTTTCTAATGTCTGAGGGAACAATGGGAACATTTGACTCTGTGGTGTATAAAAGGCTTCACACAGCTTCTTATTTTGTTAGAGTCTAATTCCATTGCATCAGGGTTTTACTTTGTCAAGTATCTCAATCTTATTTGGTGGGTGGGAGAAAGAAAAGAAAGAGAACAAAAACCAAAATAAGCCTGATTCTCTCTGGAAATAAGGAAGTCAAACACATGTCACCGATGAATTTAAATATTTATTTACCTGGAATTCATAATTATGTAATTTAAATCATTCTTTATAAGGAAAAAATAGGATCATTTTCACTGACTCATGCTGTGAATTTTCCCAATTATTTCCACACATTCAATTCTTGTTTTCCTCCCTCTTTGCTTCCTTCACACATGTTTACAAAGGAGAACATGGCCCTTCTGAGTGCTACTCATTGCTTATAAGTGAAAATATTGTCTTTATTGCTTAAGTAGCACCTAGTTTATCCACCCAGACTCAAATATGTGGGCAGAACTGTTAACAATTGCACTGTTACTCAAAAGCTTTATAAGTGCCAGATTCTAGCATGTTCTAGCTCACTTAAGATATTTAATGGAGGAAGGATACTTTGAACTATGGGAAAGTGGTTAAGGTAAGAAATATGCTACATTTGCATGTATAATATGCATCAAAATCAAGATTCATGATAAGAATAATTTGCGGGAAAGTCAGTTAACCTCACTGGATTCAGAACTTCATTATAAAGTTGAGAGGGATTGAACCAAATGACCACCTTGGGCTCTCAAGAGCTGGGATCCTGTAACTTTATTCTAGAAAATGTTTGGAGCCACTTATGGTTCTTAAGTGAATAATTACAAGTGTGTTTGAGAAAAATTAATATGGTAATGGTGAACAAAGCCATTTGGAGAAGAGAGACTGAAGGTGAGAGATCCTAGTTCTGCCAAATTTGGGAACATTTCCCTTCTGGCCAGACCTTACTTCTGTTATTCTTTCCCTGTCATAGGAGATGGGGATTTCAGGATACTAACAGACAGAGAGCAGCTCAAAGGTTCTCTTGCCCTGCTTTTTCCCATAAAATGCAGAGCTAGGAGATTCTTATAAGTCATCGTTTTGCCCCGGCACCTGCCTAATGCTGGGCACCTTGGCTTATTGGTCCAGGACCAGAGCAGAGCTGGGAGGAGGGGGATTGTCTTCATAGCTTTTATTACTTTGGGCTTAGCAGAAATGATAGGTCAGAGGTGACATCCTGTCACAACTCTAACGCCATGGGGGAAAACAGAGAAAAAAGCTAAAAAGCAAGCAGCAATAACTTTCAGATGCATGTTGCCTTCTTACAGGAACTTAGACAATAGGACATGCTTTCTTGTGTCTGTGACATGTACAAACTGCCTTATGGGAAGGTTCATAAAGATCCTCGCAGTGTCTTTCTTAAGGTGAAAGATAGGAGTCACACGCTGACAATTCTTTTTGCTTTCAGTGAGAAAGAGAATATCTTTTATGGTGATGTCAAAGGATCCTTTGGCTCCCATAACAGCGGCAGTTGGGAAGAGAGGGTTAGTGGGAGTCTGAAACAGGGTGGCAGTGGGATGGAAAGAAAGGGCCAAATGTGATCGAGCCAGAACTGACAGGTCAAGAGCACCTGACGGGGGAGGGTGACTAAAAGGATAAGGATATCACTCACAAAATGTGGGTTCAGGAGAAGGAGTGAGTTTGAATGGTCATGCTGTTTGCAGAAAAGCATTCATAGAAATGTATCTAGCAGCTTTAAGAAATGCTGGACTGAAATGATGGAGAGCAGTCACAGAGGATAAATGATGTTTGGAGCCATGACTGAAAACCAGGGAAGTACAAATAGGATAAGATTGGCAGAGGGGTGTCCACAGATTCTGCAGGGCATGTCTATCTAGGTTGGGAGTGAGGACCACACAGCCAGGGAAGGTGTGGTCAGCGAGGAGGGAGGAGCATCAGGAAAGCCTGGAGAGGAGAGAGATTGCTGGAAAGAGATGATCAGTCCACGCTCTCTGTGCTGCAGAGGTTAAGAGGGTTCAATATTGAGAAAAATGGGTCTGCAGATGTAGTGATTAGGAGGTCACTGGGAGCTTCCAAGTTAGCTTGAACAAAATGTCTGAAGGCAGAAATCAGGTTACAAGGGAGTAAGGAAGGTGAGAGTGGAGTATATAGATGGATGTCCAAAACTGTGGGGGAGGAAAGACAAAGGACTGTAGCTCAGTAGAGGAGGAGGGTAAGTGGTAAAAGAGATTGAAGAGGAGATGAAAGTGATGAGGAAAATAAGACATTTTTGGGGGGGAGACCAGCAGCCTAACTCTGTACCTAGTTAATTAGTATCCCTAATGCACATTCCTGTTAGCCTATAGTCTAGTCACTGCCCCTTCCTTAATTATCTGGTCTTGCAAGACCTGTTTACCTAAATACTCACATTTTACAGAGGCCATAAGCCATGAACAATACACAAACCCTTATCAGCACTGGCGGCAGGCCAGGCCTTTAGGTGTGGTCTCATGGCCCCCATCCCAACACAGGGGGCTTTTTGCAAAGCCCGCGAAAGGTCCAGAAGTCTGATCCATATATGGGGGACAAAGAAACCTAAGGGTATAAAGAGAAAGTTTCCTCCATATTGGTTTGCTCAGGATTTGGAGAACTGAGCCCCCGAGTCACTGTACTAGTACATGTGAAACATCTGGAAATAAATGGGTTTTTCCTGTGTCTCCGGGTACTCCTGTGTATTTTTCAGTCACCTGGTAAATTCTGTAACAAAAGCAAGTGAGGATAATGGATGGAGCTATTCCTGGAGCACATAAGAGGCAATGATATGAAATATACAGGTGGGGAGTGTAGCCATAAAGACAGAAAATGAGAAAGGATGAGCATAGAGAAATGTTGGACAAAAGGTAAAGAGCTCCAAGAAGATCACATTAGTTAACTTCATTTGTCCCAGCTACTTAAAAAGTAGTGTTTGGCAGTGCCTATATAATGGTGTTGGGATTTTGTAAAGTAAAAGGCATGTAATGCTTACCTGGAGTGATAGAATATGAGTCAATGGGAGGTGAAGGGGGAATTAGAGAGTTGCATACATACAACTGAAGGCTGAAGGGAATAATTTCATACTGGACACAATCTACCAGATTTCAGGACTGTTTCTAGTGATTGTGGTAGATCACCTTCTCTCACTTATAGTCCCTATTGTACTGTGAAATAGAGCAATTCAAATTCCAGAGTGAATATGTAATGTTTCTCAGGAACTCTGAGTCAGTGGACATTTACAAACAGCTCCATACAAGCAGAGTTGCTGGCTGATGAGGGATGTAGGGATCCGAGCCCCCGCTGCCTTTCCCCTCCCCTGCCATGCCTGGCTGTGCCAGTCCCTGTGGAATTCCATGGAGCACAATTGGAAATCACTGGTTTTATAGCAAGTATATCTAGTTTGGCTCAAGAATTATATACAGAATTTACTACTGTGGTCAAAAGAGGAAAATTCTATTCTAAAAGTTAAATTCTTAATGGTCATTGCCAAAAAAAAAAGAGGCATTTTCTTACTTGTTGGTAGGGCCCCTGTGTGTCTGTAAGCATCTCTGTCCAATAGAACTTTCTACAAAGATGAAGTGCACCAATCTGTGCCCTTGGTACCGTAGCCATTGGGGCCATCTCACCATTTAAGTGTGGTAACTTTGGTTAATTTTAATGACTTTACATTTAAATGGCTATAGTAGCCACAATAGCTAGTGGCTACCCCATTAGACAACAAAATTCTAGATTGTGTTATCAGTTTAGAGTTTCTAAAGGATGTAATAATACTTCTAATCATAACATCTTTAAGATTTATGTGGCAGGCATTTATTTCTTCATTCACGGGAGGCATCACACATGAATCCCTGACGACAGGAGCTTTGGGCTCCTGGGCTAGATACACAGGACGAATGAATATCTCATATTGGATCCCTTTAAAGTCTTGTATAGGGGTTAGGGCTGGGGAGACTTGCTAAAACCATAGATGCTGCCTCTGATCCTGACTGGTTGTTTAGGAGGTTCGTACCTGTGCCTGGGTCATAGGAGATGGAGTAAATCCTGCACAGAGAGGATTACCTCAGGTACAAGAACAGCACAGCGCATGTCCTTTAGCATTTTGTTTAAGATATCTTCATGGAGTAAGATATCTTCAACTATCTAGACAAAGTTGGACAATATCGAAAACAGAAGGGAAAAGGTGGGGAGCAGAGAAATATATGAAGTCCAAGGGAAAATGAAGGTAAAGAAGGACAGCGAGGGGAGCGAGCTGCAGATGCTAACCTGTCTGTTGTGGAAATGATGCAGAAGGAGACAGGGAGCCATCAGAGCTCCATGGAATTTCTTCTGGTTCAGCCGCTCTCCTACCCTGAACAACATCCCCACCCCACCCAGGTAGGGGCACAGTGAAAGTGAAAGCGAAAGCCTAAGGTCAAGGTCAAGGTCAAGGTCATCCTTAGGATATTTTGAGATGCAGATATTTGTATTTTCAAGTAAGGGAAATGCCAGACTATTGATGACATATTATTCAGCTAGCCAGATAAAATTTTCAAATGAGTGCTTATAGGTAAAAAGAAAACTTCATTTCTGTGATATGCGAATCTTACCCTGTGAATTTGCTATGTAAACAATACAGCTATTAAATAACTTTAGTCACTTTGTATCATACATTCCCGAACAAGCACAGCCTGGATTAAAAACAAGACAAGAAGGGAGAGAAACACACAGTATCAGTGAAGTGAAATGTAGATTCTTATCTGCTAGTGAGTACACCAGCGAAATGAAGTATTACAGACTTTGTGATTAAGTGTGTCTAGATTGCATTAATGCTATAACTGCTAGTAATATGGGTCTATTCAACCAGTAGACATAAAATTCTTTTTCTGGTGAGCCTGGTAACTTTTGGATGCTAAATTAACACTGCGTTGAATGTTCCCACACAGTTGAATGCGTGCAGGTTGTGTATGAAGCAGTTTGGGAGGCTTTGGTGATTTCAGTAAAATAGATTCACCCTACCGGGTTTGAATTTGAGCAGCGGTGTGTGCATGTGTGAACTTGGGACTGGCATCTGGAAGTCCCTTTGTGGCTATGTTGTTATTAAGGGTGATTTTGGCCAGGCTACATGTCCCTCAGCCACATACTTCAGGGTAACTAATACCAGAGTCACTAAAAACTAGGTGGTCTTTGTTTTCTTTTCAATTTACTTAGTTTTGTCAAAAATTATAAATTTACATGTTGGAATAGTTGTTTGTATATAGCAAAGATAATGCATCTTTTTATCGAATGTATCTTTCATAATAACATATGAGAATTCATTTTACTGGCTGCCTTTAAATGAGCAGGTGAAATGTAAGGAAAGAGGGACTGGTAGGCCCCTAACCTCAGCTCTCTTACTAACTAGCTGCACGGCCTTAGGCAGTTTCTGCTTCACTTGTTTGGGCCTCAGGTTCTTCATGGAAGAAATGAGGCATTCAGATTTGGTGATATCCACACTGCCTCCAAATGGTTCTGTAAAAAAAGTCTCATAATTTCAAGCTGAATGATAGAAGGTGTGGGTTTATTCTATTTAATGGTTGTGGGGCCATAACAAAGTTTAATATCAACTGGACCAACCAGGAATTATAGGGTTGTTACTCTTTACTGCCAATGCGTAGATATCTGTGAAAAATGTTCTATTTTAACTTGGAGCACACCCAGACGTAAATAAAGCCATAAGTCAGCCTTCACACCTGATGGCTCACCCAGCCAGCACCTGCTGAGTTAGGGCCTTGTGGGGCTCAGTTCAGATATCTACTTGCCAAGCAATTCAGAACTTGTGAAAACAATAGGGAAACCTGAGGATAATTAAACCCACACATAGAAGTAGATACATTTACGATGTATCTATGCATTATTTTCACTCTAAATAAATACAGTAATTTATATTATATGTGATAGGTTTTGCTGTAAATGCCTAGTTCTTCCTCTCTAAGGAACTGGTGAGAACTTTCTGCTGGTGCAGCTATGACATTGCGATTTTAATTTCTTATACCAGGGCCCTTAATCTATGGCTCCGTTTATGTCAATTCAAAGTGGACTGTACGTAAAGCATGTTGTCACAGTGCTGTTGCTAAGGTTGGTTACTTCTTCCAATAAATTCTGAAAATTTTCCTCACTTCTTTTTTTTCTCTCTACACAAGAGCATTCTTTACTGTCCATGGTATTTTCTCTAATTTAGTGCTTTGTTCTCTTTCTGTGTGCTGGGATTTCTGTGAGCAAAGAATAACACATTTTACAATCTTTCTTATGTAACTTTTTAAAAAAATCCTCACTAGAAGACATGTTTTTATTGATTTGAGAGGGAGAGGAGGGGAGAGAGAAAGAGAAACTTGGATCTGTTGCCTCCTGTACTCACCCCACCCAACCAGGGATCGAACCCACAACCCAACCTGGGTATGTGCCCAACCGGAAATTGAACTCACCACCTCTCGGTGCACAGGATGACGCTCCAACCCACTGAGCACACCAGCCAGGCCTGTAAGTTCATGATAAGGGTTGGAGGTAAACACGGATGGATTTCTCTGGCAGGAATGGAGATGCTTGGCCACAGCATTTTTATCTCCCTGCCTGCTGCCACTCCGGGGGACTTCGGTTAAGTAGGCTCTGTCCTGGCCTGAGCTGGCACAGGGCTGTGCCACTCCTAGCACCAGGGTGTGGCATGGAAGGAGACAGCTGCTCCCAAGGCCGGCCGCGGGTGAGGGTTGCCCTGCTGTCCTCCACATTGTAACTGCCCTGGGGGTGTGCAGGGTCGCTGGTGGCCCTCTCCCACTCATTCTCCTCAGTTTTAGGATCGGATAGCAAAAATGTGACAGCAGGTATGCAGGGATCCTCCGAACATTGCTGTACGTGAGTGAGTGGGCGTGTGTTTATATGTAGACATAGGTGTGTGGTATAACCTTTACCACAGGTTTGCCAAAAGCCACCCTGAAGTCTCCCACCCCACCTCTGGTCCCTGCCACAAAAGAGTGCAACAGAATTACAGCCACCTGAGCGTCCCACCAAGGCCACGGTGGCAGAAATCGGAGGCTTGAGTCGTTTCCTCGCGCTCTTTATTAGAAGTGCTGTGGACTCAACAGGCAGCCTCAGCTGTCAGCTGTCAACACCCATTTACTCTGACCCTTAGGTTAGAAAATGAGAAATGCCAGCGCATCTCGGGGACTGTCACCCAGGGCCTCGGAAGTCGGTGCTGACAGAGGGGACTTCTGTTGCCACCGTCAGGCTTGTTAATCAAGGCAAATGAGCCTGGACAGACCTGTCAGAATGGTTTCACTGAATAGACGTGCGAATTAAGCTGCCAGCCAAGGAGCGGGTGTTGTTTCAAGCAGGTGCCATTAGTTTGTGTCCAACAGAGGCTCTGAGAGTACAGAAGAAACAGTCCGTGTCCTAGTTTTCGTTACAGCCGAGGAAAGGTGTGCTCACTGGCTAGAGACTGATCACTTGTCCAGGAATATGTTCCCTTTGGACCGTCCCTCATGTTCCTCGGGCCCCTCCGTGCACCGCACACTCTTCCTTCACAGGCTTAGCGGTCTGTTCCCGCGGTGCTCACCACCCCAGAAGCCGGGACTGTCCACGCTGAGATACCCTCCTGGTGGCCGCGATCATCCCCAGAGGGCGAGACGGATGCCAGAAGGGGGAGATGACTTTTATCACCATCCCAGGGTGAGTTAGTGATGAGTTGGGCTGGAGCAAAGGTCTATGTCCTCATCCTGTGACACACACCAGGGTTAAAGACACTAAAGGTCGCGCTGGGGTTCATGGGAGAAAGGTATACTGTTCACGTGTAGCTTGAGTCTTAGGACAAAGAGGTCTCATTGTCAAGGTCCTACAACATACACTGGCAGCTACTAGAATCTAACAGTTTCCTGCGATGTCCCTCTTGCTGAGTACCTGTGGGAAGCTCAGTTCAGCGGCCTCACATACACAGGAGCCCGTTAGCAGTGTGTGGATACCGCCTGCGGTTCCTCGGAGGCAGTGAGGGTGGGGGTGTGCGTGCTGTGTGCTGAGCACAGAAATTGGCAGGACCCTGCGCTCCTCAAAGACTCCAAGAGAAGCAGTGAGGTGGAATGAAGGGGGCCTAGGAGTCTAGGAGAACAGAGACCTAATAGAACCTCTGTGGGCTCTCTGCCCGGTGAGGGTGGCCCTGTGGTTTCTGAAGGGCTTTCCATGGATCTTGTGTCCTTGGTCCCAAGACTCCAGAACAGAAGCTTCTCAAGAGGCTCCTGGGCCCTAAAACACAAGTTTGTTCCTTTTCACATTTTCATTCAAAAACTGTAAGGAAAGACCCATTTTATTTCCTATGTCATAGAACCCCTGTGGGCTCTCTGCCCGGTGAGGGTGGCCCTGTGGTTTCTGAAGGGCTTTCCATGGATCTTGTGTCCTTGGTCCCAAGACTCCAGAACAGAAGCTTCTCAAGAGGCTCCTGGGCCCTAAAACACAAGTTTGTTCCTTTTCACATTTTCATTCAAAAACTGTAAGGAAAGACCCATTTTATTTCCTATGTATTTTTCTTTTATCACAATTGGAGGGCATTCAAGTTATGCTTGTCAATAAAAATTAATAATTACAGTGATATACCTGTAATTATTAACTAAAAATGTAATTATTTATTTGTATTATTAAATACAATGTTGCATTTGCCCATTGAAGAAAATCTAAGCTCTTTTGGTAATATTGCTAAGAGGATAGAACCCTGAGTCTCAGTACATGAATATACATCAAGCCATATTTAATTGAGGAAAAACTTGCTCAAAAACTAATTTTTAAAAATCTAAATAATAGTAAGGTTACATTGATCCCATGCAGTTTTCTTTGGTGCTCTATCTCATATGAACTTCATTTTAAAAAAGTGATGAACAACATAAACAAATGAACAAAAACAGATCCAGAGATAGAAAAGCATGGATCAGACCATCAAACCTCAGAGGTAAGGTAGGGGAGGATGGGAGTCAGGGGAAGAGATGAATCAAAGGACTTGTATGCATGCATATAAGCCTAACCAATGGGCACGGACACCAGGGGGGAGAGGGCAGGAGTGGGGGGATAGGGGAGCATTGGGGGGATAATATTGAAAGAAAAACAAGTGATGAATGGCCTAATTACAAATCTAATGTTATAAATTTTGAATTTAGGAAGGATGTATGACAAAAGCATTCTTTTTACATGGTATTTTGGAAAAAAACACCTCTTTTTATGATATTTAAAACGTTATTAAGGTTTATAACTTACAAATTTGATGTGTACAGATTATATGATGATATTATTAAGTATTGAAAGAAAAACAAGTGATGTATGGCCTAATTACAAATCTGATGTTATAAATTTTGAATTTAGGAAGGATGTGTGACAAAAAGCATTCTTTTTACATGGTATTTTGGGGGAAAAAACCCTCTTTTTATGATATTTAAAATGTTATTAAGGTTTATAACTTAAAAATTTGATGTGTACAGATTATATGATGATATTATTAAAGTAAAAAGCTAATTGAAATCTGTAGGAAAGTCAAAAATAGAAAAGCGTCTGTCCCTCAGATCCTCACTTGGACTGGCGATAGACAAGAGCCCTCCACGGTGGTGTCTTGTCTAGTTTTTAAGCATATGGTGTGTAAAATTTTATCCAAAAAATAGTTACAACCCAGGATATGAAAAACATTTATAAAAACACGCAATTAGCAAATGTCAGGAGATCATTGCTATGAAGGCCAGGGTTAGAGGAAGAACATCCACGGTTACCACTGGTAATTTCTATTGCGTTTAAAATGCTGGCCAAAGGCATTTCTTCAAGGAAAAGATATGTGGTACAATCATTGCAAAGGAGGAGACAAATTAGTCATTTTGATGATAGGATGCTGTTCATTGAAAATCAAAGACTGCATACTTTCAGAGCAAATTAGTAAGGAGGCCAGTGCAATATGCAGGATAAAAACCAACAGTGTCCCTCTCTAACTGCCAAGGGGGAAGGCGGAATAAAGAGCCACAGATTACAGCAACAAGGAGACAGAAACCCAAACATTAAAGGAAGCAAGGTGAGGGTATGTGAGGAAACTGCAGAACTTTGCCAAGGGAGAGAAAAGACAATCTGAACGAATGAAGGTTCCGCCCTGATCCCGATGGGAAGACTCAGTGCCGTGCAGGTGTTGTGGGACCCCCGCCCCCGCAAGCATGTATCTACTGAAGTGCCAGGCAGAGCCCTGGGGGACTGGACAAAGCGTGCTAATATTCCCCTGTAGGAATAAGTGTTCCAGAACATACTTGAAGATGAAAAGTCATAAGAAGGCACTTGCCCTTCCTGTTTAAAAAGTTTTGAAAGATTTGAAATTATTAAAATATAAACAGTCATGTCATTAGAATGGAAGATCCAGAAATAAACCCAAGTCAATCAATCAGCTGGTAAATCTCTTTATGTATAAAGCATATACTGTATAAATATATACTATATCTTATAGACAAATGTGTTATAAAACATGTATAATGCACATATTCAGTATGGAAAGGCAGATTTTAAAATAAGAAGAATTGGGGGGAAAGAAGTTACACTTCTATATCCATCATATAAACATAACTTCAAGATGAATGAATTACAAGTGTAAATAAAAACAAAAATAAAGCTGTAAAACACTGGAAGAAAATACAGGCAAATGTTTATGTCATCTCAAGATGGAGAAAGGTCTTTCTAGTCATAGCACCACAAGCAGAAGCTGTAAAGGAAAATATTAAAAGGCATTTTGATCACTGCAATCTGTATAAAAAGGTGGATAGTTTGTTTCAAATTTTCAGTTGAAATACAATTTAAAACTTCTATAGGTAATAAGAATTATAAGACAAACAATAAAATGGACAACTTGTAACCATTATGAATGGTGATTATTTTCCCTCATATGTAAGGAACTCTTATAAATCAGTAAAAAATGAAAGTTCTCAACGGCAACTATGGGCATAGGACATGAATGGACATTCATAAGAAAAGTAGCCAATATCCAACAAACTTATGGTAATTTTTTTGCTTCACTGTTGATAGAATAAAATGAATTAAATACAATATTATTTTCCCTTGTTTTAGACTGACAAAAATGGAAAAGAATGTCAATACATAGACTTACTGTGGTAATCATTTTGTAATATGTAATTTAGCAAACATTTATGCTGTACACCTAAAACTAATACAATGTTATATGTCAATTATATCTCAATTTTAAAAAAGATAAATGCCTAGTTTCTTTCTACTTTAATTATTGAAAAATTTTAAAAACATTTGTTCACTTATATTTTCTAAACATGGAGGGTGAAATGAGAAGAAAAAAAGAGAAGAAAGGAAAAAAAGACAAGAGAAGAAAAAATAAAATGGAAATACCACACCTTTAAAGGTAGAGAAGATAGAAGGGGAAATAATGGTTCATTGACCCAGAGTCCCCAGGGACCGAAGGAGATGAAGCTTCAGTGGGAATTGAGGGGAGCTGCCACCAAGGGATGCCTCTGGGTCCTGGGTGCGTACAGTTCCCTGTGCTGCTGAGTTCAGTTACTCCTGGCAGCGAGATCAACGTGGGGCAGAATAATCTCTACAACATTCTGACAAAATCAGAAGATGAAAGAAGGCTATATAAAATAACCAGGATAGCAATAAAGAACAGATTCCATTTGTGTTCAAAACAGACTTTGAGCCCTGGCCAGTTTGGCTCCGTGGATAAGAGTATCGGCCCTCGGACTGGAGGGTCCCGGGTTTGATTTTGGTCAAGGGCACGTACCTAGTTTTCGGGCTGGATCCCCAGCTTTGGTTGGAGCACATGCAGAAGGCAACCACTCAGTGTGTCTCTCTCACATCAATGTTTCTCTCTCTCTCTGTCTCTCCCCATGTCTTCCATTCTCTCTGAAAGTCAATGGGAAAATATCCTCAGGTGAGGATTAATAATAAAAAAAAAGCCTCTGTTATAAGTGGTGTCATGTTATGGAATAGACAGTGCTCGAGGGAAAAAACACAGATCAATCTTCTAACAAAGTGTGAGAGCATTTGAAAATTTTCCATCTCTCTCTGATTCTCAAAGGAGTGTTATTTCAGTGAACATAAAATTCCCCATCATTCCTAGTAACACTAGATGTTTTATGATAAATCTATATGAAGTAACTATCTCTTATCCTTAAGAAGGCTGAGAAGGCTGTCTCAGTACAAGTTTGACAGGTGTTATCAGGTGTGGATCCCTGAAAATGTCTTTGATTGCTCTCATATTAAAATAACACTTCAGAAACATTGGCAAGAGCCCATTGATATCTTCCTGTTCTGGGTGCTTGAGCATCAAGGCAGAGCTATATGTGGGTGATGAGGGTCTGGGCATTAAAGAGCTTATATTTATTAAAGAAGACTTTATATAAAATTAATTTTATACAAGGAGTTATACGTATTAATTTTGTACAGGCAATGCCATGCAGATAAATTTGGGGAATGTTATAAAGAACTATAGTAATAAAGTTAAGTTCCATCCAAGGTATATTTGAGGCCAATGCAGGGTCATGGAAGAGCACAGGACTTCCCCTGGGAAGACTGTATGCAGTTCAAGTCCCCACTCTGCAACTTTCTCACTCACCGTTTCACGTCTCCAAACCTCATTCTCCACGGTACTGTGAGAATGAGAGCATGTAACTGAGGCTCCCTCTAGGCTAAAGGATATAAAATGCAGTGT